TTTTTTTTTTTTTTTTCCTGCCACTGAGAGAGACACTGAAAGAGACGAAGAGATGACAGTCCCCAAACTTAAAAGCCAAGGTCGTTGGCCATTCCTTCTTCTTACCCGCACCCGCATCATCGGCATCGCTATTATCGCCATCATCGTCGCACTACTACCACCACCTAAAACTTTTCTATTCAGACAACAGTTTTGACATTTCAAAAAATTTTTTCCTTTCTATTTGTCTGCCTTTAAATGTTCAGATTTCAAGAAGAAAAAAAAAAAAAAGAAGATAAAAAAGAGCAGAAAAAGGTTTTTTTTTAGCTTATAAAAATTATAAATTGATTAAAAATTAAAGTTTAAAGAATTTTTTTCTTTTTTTACCCTTCCTTGGTTTTTTTTTTTTCAACCAAAGTTATGAATTATTCTGTGGTTTCTGTTTCGTTGTCATTCAGTTTATGCTCATAATAAGGATAAGTTTATTGTTACTGTTTATTCATCTCTTCATTTTTTTTTTTTTTTTCTCACTTCCAAACAGTGATGGTGGTGACAACAGATTTTTGTAATAACATAAGGGAATGACAGTTGTATGATGCAGCTTATGTTCGTCATCATTTTCTTCGATGAAAAATGTTGGTTTGGCGAAAACGATGGCATGTATAATTACTTTTGATAACTGAACAACAACATCAACAACAACACTGATGGATAGATTTTTGATAACACAGCATACATAACACAGTCCATTTTTATTCGTCAATAACAGCAACAACACGACAACTATTTGTATACGTACATTTTGTAACAAAATATCATCTTTCCGACAGAGTTGTGTTGTTTATAATTAAAAGCTTTATTGTTTACCAAAGACAAATCGTATATCACTGACTCTCAAAACTTTTTTTTTACATTGGCAAAATGACAGTTATTGGCAACTTTTCAATTTGAATTTTTCAGATGTTACTCATTCATTTTAAAAATAATAAAAATATTTTACTGAAACAGCGAGTACTGAAAAATACGGACAGTGCCGATATCACATATAATATGTATCAACATTCCTTTCTATCTTCTTTTTTTTTTTTCTTTTTCTGCTGTTAAGAATTAATGCACAGTATCTATTATTTTTGATGAACAAATTCAGAAATCACATCTTTATGCAGCAAGTTTTTTTGTTCTTTCGTTTTTTCATCCAATCTCCTCAGTGCTAGGTATTTGTTTAAAATTATCTAGAAACTTATTAGCCAATAATTTGTTACATGTTGGGAAGTATTGTTGGTTAGATAGTTTTTTACTATTTTTGTCTTTTTCATTTCCAAGAATGAAATTTTTTGAAAGTTTACAGTTAAGTCGAGAGCGAAAATTTCATAATCCACTCATCATTTTTCACATTGCCTTTAGTGGAATGGTGCCTAAACATCTTTGGAGATTGAACGACGGAAAAAAACCTCGCAAAACGTTTTTCGTTTTCCACAAATAACTGCAAATAAAGGTGGTGGCATAGCCCGGTAGGGTTTGATTGGACACCAGAAATGGAGGTTAATATCTATTTTGATTTTTTAAAGATACTTTTTTTTTTTTGTCAATATTGGCGAAGCCATAAACATTTTTAGCACGTATAAAGCGAGGCTAATATGCATTATATACACGTTGGTTTTTCATGTAACGAAATTATCTTTGATTTGAAATATACTGTTAATAATTTTTGGTTAGGAATGTTATCGCAAAAACAAATGTTTTACTATAACTGAAATATCTTTTCCTTTCGATTTTTTGGTTTCTGACACTGAAGTTATTGGTAACTATGGCTATCGAACTGTTTTTCCGAATAGTTTTTCATGCTTTTTTTAAGAGCTAAATGAGGAGAAAAAAAAAATATGTGTTTGAATGTTTCGGAAATTTATAACAGATCAATTTTGTGAAAGTAATTTTACACTTCCTACGTGTTTCATGAAAGTAAAGGTCAAACAGAGTTTGGGACAGTCAGTGTCTTCTATGTTTCGTCGACATTGGGGAGGCCTGGAAGATGTCCGAAAACGGTTACGACAACTAACTTTACCGAGGAGGGTACTAGTAATTGTTCTATGCAGCTTAGTTGCTCTATATTTTCTTATCTCTTCTATCTTTTCGTCTGAAAATTCATCGGTTACAAATCCTTGTATTTTGGAGCGAACGCGAGAGTGGAAAGAACTTGAGGAAAGTGCACTTGCGTCAACTTCACCACACCTGCCTGTTTTCGTTGGGAATGGGTATTAAATTTGCTAGTGATAACGATTTAAGACTTATTTAGATGAATAAGAATTTTCTTAAGTAATTGACTAACCCATATTTTCAAGATTTATTTTCTCTAATTTTGTTTTTACACTGCTTCGTAACTGCAAATAAAACAAACAAACAAACAAACAAACAAATGGAATATAAAAAGAGCAAAGAGCTGATGAATATTTTTGTGCTGGCACTTTATAGTAGCATTTTTTTATAGTTTTGTTGGACTTGGAGGTGACGGCGAGTTAAGGATGTTGGCCAAATCTAAGGACACACTGTCGCAAAAAATTGCTTTCTTCCCTCTTGTGGACGCAGAAGTTGTGGGAGCTTCTTTAGAAGCAAAAGCTACTGTGGTTGATTATCGTACTGGGGTCGCAAAGATGATGCAGTGCTTTTCTAAGGTAGGCTTTAGGTTTAGAATAGTGGTGGTAAGGCCACATTTGGCTGTTTGCTTCAGGGTGACGAGTGTGTTTGTGTTACGAGAAGTTTTTATGCTCACCGTACTCGGCCACACGTTATTGTTCAAGATATTGTAATCACGAATCCTACGGTATGTTTTACTGTTTTTATTATTGTCGTCTTTTCCAATAACCCACTCTTGGTTTTGCTAACAGGTATCTTTAAACAGTAGATATTAAACGTATGTCTGAAATAATAACCTCTGATTCTAAAAGTTGAATAATACTTTTATTTTTCTTTTAATATGGTACAGTTTCCAGGACGATCTAGTTGAAGTTAAGTTGACAACTCACTCTCACGTAAAGTGGGATCAGGATGAAAGGTTAAACAATTGTGAATTTTCTTCTTCGATTACTTTCATCCTTTACCTATTGAAATGGTGTCTGATCTTACAGAGTTGACAAGACTTATGTCTACTCACGCGCTCTCGAAGTTGATGATACAGCTTTTGCACTTGGGGGGATTTGTTCATTTGTTCCTAAGAAGATCACTGTTGAAAGAAAGCGCGAAGAGAGTGAACGTTTTTTGTGTGTGGTTAATTATGAAGTTGTGAAAACGAATGAGATTATAGAAGGGAAGAAAAGAATAAACAGAGCAGTGTCTAAGGTTTGTTTGATGTGACTTATTATTATAGGGTGAAGAAATTTAGAAGAGGAGGAGTAATCCTAAGAGTAGTTAGTCAACTTCCAGTCTTCCTAAAGTGTATAGTTACTTTTTGAAGGAATTTGCTGACATTTTGAGTCTTGGTATTGGGATTCTCGATCGAGAGAATGAGGACGCCTGGCGCAAAGTAAGTGGTGTTTGATCTTCTGAGCTGCTGAAGGAACTTGATTTTATTTACTTCAACTTGAAATATTTCACGGCTGAAGAGCAATAAAATTTTTTTTCAGAAAATATCAACTTATTTAATAATATGAACTCTATTAGGAGTATCGCGGCTCTATTTGGTCAGCGAAATAAATTGTTTTGTTTTTAATCGGCGTGGGTAGTGTATACGGACTTTTTCAGCTGAATACTGTAACTTTCGACATCTCAAAATCACTTGCTCCTGACGTGCTTAATACCGGGCTAATAAATGCGCTGAGGTATGGTTTACTGGCGAACGTTCGAGCACCGCTTCTTGAACATGCAGTGCCTCCTCAAAAAAAAAAGGTTTATTTAATTTTGATAAGCTCTACATTTTTTTTATGGCTGTAGTTTGAATGAGAAAAATTTATTTATTTTTTAGTTACAAGTCGTATGCAAAGTCTCTGCTATGCTTTTTTTTTGTTAGGATGTGTTAGACTAATTCTGCAGCTCTATCAGTTCTGGTAGAGTAGCTTGTTAATTATCATAACCACAAATTTAGACTAGGTTAGTATGTTTAGGAGGCTTACGCACTAATGTATGAACGACAAGAAAGTGCTTGCTATTCGGGGCATTCTACCCTCTTTGTACCTAGTGCCTCTTTATGGAAAATATCTAGTTCAGTTGACAATCTTGTCAGTGTGATATCTGTTTGGATTCATACACTGCAACAAAATGGATGTGTGAATTTTGTTAACGCTGGTGCAAGCGGTGTAGCTCAAGCTTTCGTACTGAGTTTGATTGCTGGCAAGTTAGTCATAGACGTAAAAGCTGTAAGGCCATCGTAATTTAATGAGATAATCTACCGCTTTTTGTTTTTCTTTAGGTTTACATCTCACCACTTAGAAATCAGATTGGAGCCACCAGATTTACACCGTGAAATTACTGTAGAAGGGATTGCATTATCAAGCACTGCCCGTTTTTCTTTAGCTATCAAGCTGGATGGTGAGAATCGTCCATATATGCTTGCTTCTTCAAACTCTCAGGTGCAGATCAGATTTTTGGAGTAGTATTGGCACTCATTTTGCTACTATTTTAACTCATTGTGCGATGCGGATGTCGTGCTCTTTAGATGTACGCTTGTGATGCTGGTTGTTTGAGTCCACCAGAGTTGTTAAGCGACGATCGACGTGTGTTCCCAGTAAAAGCAACGAAACCTTTAACGCCAATTTTGTATATATCCGAAAATAAACGCCATCTTGTACAATTGCGCAACACAATTCATGTTTCAGAGGTTCCTCCCACATTGATTAATTATATTATCATAATTTATCTTTTCGTAATTATATTATCATAATTTATCTTTTCGATCTTTAGTGGTTATGCAGCGTATCTTTTTTAGGTCATTATGGCACCAGCTCATGAACAGGAGTTAATTGCGTTGCACAAACACGGACACAGGTTAGGAGGACTTCCAGTTGCCTTCTGGGTTTTACTTGGAGCTTTAGTTGTAATTTTTCATCTTTTTCTTTTCAAACTTCTTTACTCAGAGTGGAGCAAAGCCGATTATACCCCTTATAATTATTACCTCCGGCAGCGTTACGTCAGGAGTCACTGAGCTTCTGTTTTTTGACATTTTAAAGGAGACATCTATTTCAAGTCATTTTGATTTATTGCTATAATCATTTATAGTATTCAAGAAGGGCCATTCAAGTTTTTGACGAGTATTTGTTCAAGAATTTTTAGTAATTCAACGTTGTTTTTGAAAAATATCGCATGAGGTCTTCTTCCTTGTCTGGAGAAGCACTACGTTAAGTGCGAACTGATCTCTTATAAGGTTATGTAACCTTGAGTATATTGTGAATCATGTTTATTGTTGAGTTTTTAGCTTTATTTTGCGTTTTGAAGCAGTTGCTCTATATGAGTTGGAGATCTTGTTTTCCTTGTAGAACAGGGGTTTGTCGCTAAAAATTTTGGAATGATTTTCCCTGTAATAAGTTTGTAATATAGTTTTTGATGTTGCCTTGTCTACGGTGTCTTAGAATGGGTTTGGTTGCCTTATACTTTATGTGTTTTTATCAATGTCTTACCTAGTTCTATTTTTAATTTATTTTTTCTTCTTTCTTATCACTCACTTTAATTTCTCGAAGGCAAGACTCGAATGATGACGGTGATGATTATATAAATTCATGTAGTCTTTTGCTTATGCTTTTCAAAAGTCCTTTTTATTTACTTCTACATTTGATCAAGGCCCTCGCTTAATTTTCTGCAATTTCGAGTTTTCTTAGCAGTTACAGTGTCAATTTTCTTCTTCATTTTTTTCCACTTACCCTTTGATGTGCATTTGTGGAGTTTTTTATACCAGGGGAAACTTCAACTGCTTTTATATCCGCTGATGTTGATATAATTAGGTAGTTGTTCTAGTCTGGTTGGGTAGTTTTACCAAGAATGAATTAAGTGTTTAATTAGATGTGGTCGTATGAGGCAAAATTAATAAGCTGATTAGTTAATTTTATCGTGTAATTCCTCCTGTGATGTTTGCTGTAATCGGTCAAGACTTCTGCTTTTTAAAGCATAGCAGATGTAACCTCAAATTAGCTTTGGCAGAAGCGAACTTTTCAGACTCGGGGCTTTGTTTATTTCCATAGCATTACCTTCTTCCCAGTTAGGCTATATAGACAATATTAGAGAGGGAAGTTTGATGGTGTTTTTGAGGAAGAAACGGAAACGTGTGACTCTGAAAAAGTAGTACACGAAGAGGAATAAATCTTAGCTTTGTTACAATCAGTTGTGATGGATTTTTAACTAGTTTTGTTGTAAACTTTTGTTGAACTTAATGTTAGCGCCGCACAAGTACTGCTCCTCCAAGTATTAACTGTGCTTTTGGTAATTTTCCGGAACAAAGACCTATGAAATGTTGTACCGAAGAAACACCGACCCACTGTTTTTATAACTGAGCTGTTGCAAAGAATGCTTTATCATTTTTTTATCTTCATAACAGTCGAAGTCGCGAAGCTCTAATACAAAAATTAGTGTTTCCAAGCCAATTAATAAAGTATTGTGGACTTTTCGTTCTATTCGTTGCATTCTGCCACCTGTGAAGAAAAAGACACTAATTTACTAGTCCCTCAGACTCACAGTATGCAGTTAGAAAGAACGAAATGCTCTATGTCATGAAATTCGTTCCAATAACCTTATTGTCCGAGAGCTACACTTGTGAAAACGACTAGAGTATTTACCAGACGGACTGCGAAAGAAAAGGCATTCCCACTGACTCTGCTTTTTTTGCAAATATTCCTGCATATAGTTACGAAAATATTTCAGAAGAGTTATTTCCATATGAAGCTATTCTGGATGCGAAGATGCAGCAAAGTATTTTTCTAACATCCCTGTACGCTGAATCCTTCTGAATGACAACCGTATAGGGCGTTTACTCATCAAAGTGCCTAAAAACTGCTCAAAAAATTGCTCGGCATCGACGTTTAAAACCAGCCCAGATTTGTCGTTGGGAACAACTCCAACTGAATCATCGCATACTATCCCAAAAAATCAACCTATTTAGAAGCCCAGGGGCAGGGACTGGCACCAGGTCTTCTGCTTCATTTGTGGTCCAAACACTTGGAACGAGAACACACAAAAAAAGCTCATAAAAAGCAGCAAAATTGTAGAACAAAAAAAAGACAAACCTTGTACCAGAAGCTTTTCTACAGGATTTTTAATGATAAGTTCATCCAGCTGCTGGTAAAGATCCGATAAGTAACAACCAGAAGGAACAGTATTCAGATCTGCATCACCTGCTTAACACTGCCAACTTACAGAGCAAAAAAGCGAAAGAAATTTTAAACATGTTTGACCATTGGAGCATGCTGTTTAGGAGAGTCATCAAGAGCACTGTTAGCAAACAGTAGCAGATAAGTGTTCGTTCACAAGCTATTGAAAACAACTTTGCCAAACCCCTGAAGTTTGCACATATGTAGTAAATCAGGGTAATTTCAAACTTCTTCTGAACGTAAGCGAACAGGCGTCCACTGTGAGAAAAGGAGAAAACAAATCATTCATAAAACGTAAGGTAAAGAAATTTTTTGTTGCCACACTGTTTATTTCAAATTTTTATGTGCAAAATAATTCAGGTTTTCAGAACACCTATCTCCAATTATTTTTTTGAACCGCAAGCACCGTACATTTCCCAAACATCTATCGTTTGTCATCTTGACCCTAAAATTAGAAACCTTTGGAGCCATATAAAAGCATCAGCGTGATGGGGCCACCAGTCTAAATGTGAGCCAATGAAGCATTGACTCTCATCTAGACTGGTGGCTCCATCACGCTGATTGGCTAGAGTGGATATGCTAATCAGAAGCGCGTTTTCTCGGTACAGTAGTTGCATGCCATATACAGTATGTCAGACCCACTGATAATGGTGAAAGACGCCTCCTGACTTCTCCGATGCAAAGCCAACGCAAGGTTTTGCTTTACATGAGCTCTCCTGGGTTCCGGGAAAAAGTGGAATTGGTCGGTTTACTCAACTGATTGGGTATCAGATGGTTGCCGCGATAGTGAGGAGACTGATGAAAGCCATTTGGTGAATAGAGGGAAGAGCTAAGAAGAATACTGCAAAAGTCGATTTTTGGAGCGCAGATACAAAGGAGATAAGGCAGAGCGGCGGCCATGGAAAGTGAGCGGAGCTGAAGCTTGCTACCTCCCCTCCTTTATTCATTCGCGCAGAAAGAGTCCATATATGAAAACTCTTCCTCACTTTGCGTAGGATTTGAGAAAGTTTTTAAACTGCTGGTGTTCTTTTCAGCGCAGTCCAATTTTTGGAAGGTCCCTCGAATGAAGGATAGCTCAGCAACCTTTAAGTTGCTTTTATGCCTTCAATCCACACATTTGAACAGCAGTTTTTGCTGAGCTGGACATTGGGTAAGTGAACCGACTTGAATCACTAGCACCCAAAAATTCCAACCCTCGTCCTCTCGCGTATAGAAATATATGGCCTGACATTGCCGACGAACTCATTTCTGGATCACATTCTTCACTGGTTGGACATCGTACAGCAGCTCACATGCATCCTCTCCATTTCTTCACGAAGTGCTGTCGTCAATTTTTGCGCTATTTTTCCTCACCTCACAAACCCGTCAACAGTTGAACAGTCATATTTATAAAACCAACCACTAAGCGCACTCCATGCTGGTCCCCAGCAGGGTAGGTAAGGTGGTGTTCCTTAGCTGCTCTCCTCTCGTCTCGATCCCTGCTACAGAGCGTCCTGCGTGGTCTGGTGCCTCCGTTTCAGGATATTTGAGCAGGGTTTCTCCTCTAGATGGAGTCCAAATCTCTCTACTTTCTGGTTGATCACATAAATATCCTGATAAGATTTTACGCACTTTTGTGCTTCTACTCCTGCCAACAACTGTGCTTGCCGACAGTTTAAAATGACAGCACCTAACGCAACTCGCTGCATAAGAAATCCTGGGAACGCAGACGAAACCCACACATTTGAGAATATATTACCGACAGATTACTCTACTCGAATTCAATTGCCTGAACTGTTGCATACAGGCGACAAACAATCAAAGCTCACTGGAAGCAATTGTGATACTAAGATTTGTTCGAGCAACAACCCTTCGAAAACTCTGACATGCTTCGCCAGCACGAGGTTAGCAAAGCACGAGGTTATTTTATATTCCTCAGCTGAGACCAAAAACATATCAAAATTTTTGTCATAGCAAAAGCCACACGCACACCTCCAAACATTCTCAAAAAGCATAGAAGAATCGGTTAAAACTGCTGAACTGCAGTCACTTCAGCTTCCTAAAGCTGATTAGGAATGAGCGCATAAAAGTATATAGAAAGCTTCAGTCTTGCCTTTTTTTACTAAAAATTCAAGGAATAAGAATCCATATAAAAAATATTTCAAAGAAGAGCCACAACGTTTGGAACATGTAATGTGCAGACGAATCCTCCGAAGTTACAAAGTTATTTTGAAGACAGAATGGAAATGTAGCTGCTTGAATGTTTGTACTCAACAGCAATCAGAGACTTCTAAAAATGATATCACCTGATCTGAAAAAACTAATAATCACTATAATAATAAAACACTATAAGCAAATGTGCATAACAACAACGGAAAGACAACAAACAACGAGGGCTTTTTAAGGAAAATGTAAAGTATATAACATACTTCCTGGCTATTTAACCTCCATAAACAGTTGCCTAATGAAGGATTACCAAGTGCAAATACGCCTAACTAATTCCATATATTTGAACATAAAAAACCTCAATTCTTATTGAGTTACGATTCTTCAAACTCTGCCATTTGAAAAATTAAGATTGGAACAATACAAGGACCACCACGTACGCGTTACTTCATAGCAAAAAAACCCGTAAACTAGTATAATGAAAGTGAGATTAAATAGCATCATAAGCACTTCCGGTCCTTCATGACTACTTCTAAACTTAACAAACGACCAGGAAGTAGCTCACACAAGATAGAGAAAAAAACGAAAGGGAAATTACGCCTGAAAAAGCAAACAGAAAGAAGCTCGTATTGAAGGATCATACAAAGCAAAAACAGTTTGGACCTTTCACAAGAAAAATTGCTTTGAAAAGCAACGCAACGGTAAATACTAACAATATTAATATGAATTAAATTAAGAATATTTTAGTAGAAAATAAGAGCTCTGTAAGAACCAACGAGTGACCGTACTGCTTTCTGTTCTTAAACTAATAACTAAAAATACCGAGCGACGTAAAAGAAGATTAAAGACACAAATCCTTGAGCCTAAAACGTAATGATAAAAGCAAAATGAAATACATATGTTTTTCTTAACAAAATTAGTAGGAGTTAAGCGACTTCAGAAGCAAGTCGCTTTTGTAAACTGGATCGTCTTTGATTGGACAGAACTTGAAAGAAGATGTTCCACCATTGACTTTGCGTATTTCAATCGACAGCTAAAAAAGTTAACTTAAAAAAAAAGATTCAAATGAATTGCAAAATGTCAGTTGCAAACTCACAATACGTCCTTCGAGCACCCGAACCTTGCTATCAATTCAAACTTGAAAGTTCGGAATCTCCGTTGCTGATCGATGTATGTTACAGCCCCCATTAACGGGCAAACTATTAGCTTCGTATGGTCCTAAAAAGACGAAAACTAGAAGCTAAAGAACAAGAGTATTCAGAGACACCAATAGTTCTCAAAATTACCATAACCTGGAAAAAGTTGATTTGCAAGATGCCATTGCTCATATGCAACACGATGGCAGAGCGAGTGCGAAACCAGGTTCTCAACCAAGGCAAACGAGCGAGCTCATCGCCTTCTTTAGCAGCCATATTTGGACCCGTTTTTTGTAGATGTTCTTGCATATAGTTACGGAAATATTTTAGCAGGGTTATTTTTTTATGAAGCTCTTCCGGATATGACCATAAAAAGAAATACTTCTCCGAGTTGTCTTTTTCTGTGTACTGAACCTGTCTAAATGAGAAGAATATTGAAAGCTATTAAGAAACAACTGCATCTGTTAAGAAGACAACATTTTAATAACTCACTCTCCAGCAGCATTTAGAACCAGCTTAGTATTATCGTTATAAATTACACCGATCGAGTTGTCACAAAGCTGATAACCGAGTCCATACTTATCTGAGTAATCCACCCACTTAGAGATCCAAAAAACGGGAGTGCACGCCGGATCCTCTGCTTCATCTGTGGATCAACAGCAAAAATTAGTTCGCATCATAAAGAAAGCACTCATCTTACGAGATTTAAAAAAAACCTTCTTGTATTAAAAGCTTTTCCGCGGGATTTTTAATGATAAGCTCATCCAACTGTCGGAAAAGATCCGATAAGTAACAATCGGAAGGAACACTATTCAGATCCGCGTCACCTGCTTAACACTATCAACTTACTGAGTAAAAGAGCGAAAACAATGTTAATTATGTTTGACCACTGAAGCATGCTATTTAGGAAAGTCATCAAAAGTGCTGTTAGCAAACAGTAGTAGATAGGTGTTCGTTAACAAGCCATTGAAAGCAAATATGCCGATTCCCTGAATTGTTCGCACTCAGTTAGTAAATCACTGTGATTTCGAACTACTTCTGAACGTAAGCGAACAGATGTCCACAATGAAAAAAGAAAAAAATAAATCATTCAAAAATGTAAGTAAAAGATTTGCGACCACACTGTTTTTTCCAAGCGTTCATGTGCAAAACAATTCAGGTTTTCAGACCACTTACTTCCAATTAATAACGAGAATTTCTATGAGTGCATATCGTTTGGAACACTTCTGCTAAATATCCTCATTTCTACTGTTTATATTTAAAACTCAAACAAAATTTTTTCACTTCTATTTCCTTTAGCTGCAACGTTCATGACTCGTGCTTCTGGTACCAAGGTTAACGGCCTAGCAGGGTTCAACATCAGATTCTGTAAGATAGAACAAGAATAGAATCAGAAAAACACGAAGGTAACTCCGGAAGGTTAAGAACAGATTTTAGAAGCATGCCTGAAGGTTTTGTTCAGAACTTAGTTGATGATGCGGCTTTATTTCTGCAAGAACTCGTCGTTCTTCATTTTGACCCTGTGACGGCTGTGCTAGAGTGAAATTTGGAGCCATAGTCAGACACGAAGTTGGTAACCGGGTAGGCATATATCCTTTCAAAAAAAAATCGAATTTTGAGACCTAAAAAGTTAGGTTGCTGAAAGCAAATAATAAAGTTGTTTTTTTCTATTAGGAGACGTACCTCCTGAATATTGGGCCTTTTTGAAGGAACAGCGGCAAGAAGACAACTGATCAAGTGAGTCGCATCTGGGCTAATTCGTTTAGGAATAACATAATCGTTGTTTTTTATCTTTTGATAAGTTTCCTAAGAAAAACAGCAACAGATAAGAGACAAAAAACGAAATCGAAGAAAGAGAGAACTGCGAGCACAAATCATTGAGCTCACGCGACAAACCTTCAGAGACATTGTTTCAAAAGGCGGTTTTCCAACCAAGAGGGTGTAAAGGATACATCCCAGCGACCAAATATCTACTTCATAGGAATGCCCTTTCTTGTCCAGCATTTCAGGGGCAATATAATTCGGAGTCCCACACAACGTCTTCTTTCTTTAAGTATACTCCAATACTGACAACTAATTCAATACCATTAAGGAAGACATTTCGTACCCTACCTTTCCCCGACATAGTCTACAATAGTTGCAAGGCCAAAATCTCCCACTTTCACCTGCATCTCATCATCTAAAAATAAGTTGCCGAGTTTGAGATCTCTATGAATAATACAGTGACTATGCAAATAATCGCACGCTGATACGACCTAAAGAAACACGTAAGAAGGTTAGCACCACTACAATGAAATTCGGAATCTAATATTGCTTTCAAAGAGATCTTACAATAAGCTTATTAAGTGATACAAAACCTGGCTTGTGAAATACCGTGCTTCCGGCTCCGTGACTGCCTTACGCCTTCTGTATAGCTCCATTAACGACTAAATTACAGCAATTACCAACTTACTTTTTAACTTTAAAAATTTTGGAGCTTTCTCATTTATACTGTAAATGCGTCAAAGAACAACTCGTTCAGTGAGCGATAACAATCAGCTACGAGCGATTACCCTCCTAGGACACAGTTCCAGTAAAATATACACGTTATCGGAATCTTCAAAAAATCCATCCATGCGCACAATGTGGGGGTGAGAGAGAGCACGATGGATCTCAATCTCTTGCGTCATCTGAAGCGACCAGGCCATATGTTGAAAACTGTACGTTGTCACGAAAGAATGCAACATTTTTCTACTCTACGGCAGAAGATGCATAAGCTTACCTTTTCCTTCTGATGATTTTTCTGGAGTAATAACTTAGAAACAACTTTCCCAGCATAAACTTCTTTTGTGTCAGAGTTTACGAGTTCATAACACCGTGCAAATCCTCCTTTGCCCAGGAATTTCCCCCTATAGAAAAACTGTCTCTGCAGAGAATCATAAATGGTATTCGGCACTTCCTTTAGTTGTGGCTTATCGTCCATCATCTGCAACCATTAAATCCAAGTCTATATGCAAGTTACCATATCAAACAATAAACACAAGTTGAAAAGAAACAAAAGTAGCGAACAAGATGAAAAACCGATCACTAAGATGGAAAAAAGAAGGAAAAGTTGCCAGTATAGCAAGCGTAAACAAATGAACGAAAAGAAAACTTAAAAAGAATGAAATAAATTGGTTGCAAAACAAAAAATTATTGCTATCCAAAAACGTATGATATTTAATCGCTGAGGCCAAGAAAAACTTGGTGAATTAGGTAAATCTTTTACGCAAAAAAAACCCACTATCAAGAAACTTTTCTTACGACAAAAGTATAGAAGAGGATGGCATTATCCAGCGCCAAACACCATTATACGTCAACAAAAAGTTTTTAAACAAAAATCAACTTAATCAGATACAGAGAGATGTTTAAAAAAAAAAAAACGAGAGATCGTTTTTTGACTTCGCTTTAAATTTCACCACCACCCCAATTAACTAAAATGTTGTCGTACACTGAAGTTAACAAAGCGCCAAATAGAATATTAACAATCTTTGTAACCTTAGTGAACAGTTGCATTAACAGATACATTTGAATGAATACCTGAGGTATATAAAACCAACGCGACCCAAGCGATAATGAACCGCTACACGGCTTGACTTTCCTGGCACCTCAGGGACGTACTTTGTATTAAGCACCGACAATATCGACAACAGAATCTGAGTTCGGCAAGTGCAGGTAAAGGAGCTGAAAAACTGAGACACAAGATCAATGAACATCCGTGTTTCAAGCGCTGTTACCAACGTCATTAAATTAAAGACAGCAAACTGCACTGCGAGCGTCCGAATTTACTTTCTGCTACTACTTCTAAACTGTTCCAACGTAGGGTCATGTGGTCGTCTGGTACAATGCACAGGAATGTTGCTACAGCTTTGTCATTAGTGGCTTTAGTTTGAGACTCCGTTTACATATTTTAGGGATAATTTTTTTTTTTCAAAATTGAAAAGAAGTTCAGTTTTTTGTTTTTTAAATGCGGTGTTAGGTAGAAAAGGATGAGTTGAGTACGTATCCACCAACGGTCAAAATCTCAACCCCTACTTCTGACGGCAGTAAGTGCTGTACTAATTGCGCAAGATTTTAATCGACTATTAAAACCAAATGTGGTTTTAAAGTTCAAAAAGTTAAAAACCAGCGTTAATCTTGACCAGTGTTTGCAGCTTTCGCACAAATTATTTCCTGTATTTTCAACGCCTAGTTAGTTCTTCGCCCGTAAACTTTTATGCATCAGACATTTGCGGAATTAACAAGGTAAAATTTTTTTTTCACTGACTAGTTACAGTAATTCCAGAAAGCCTTGGTGATTAAATGTTTATTTACACCGTATTATCCTTTTAAGCGTCAAAAAAAAAGAATTTGTTATGATTTTTTTTAGAAGTGTTTTGAAAGAGTTGATGGTAAACTTTCAAATAAAATTTGGAAACTGTTGATAATTTTTCTACAACTTTCTGCTTCTGCTACGACCGGTTACTCCGTTCTGTACAATTTCTGATAGGTAATTTACTGTTGGATTCCTCTATTCTTCAGTCGAGTTAATCTTGCTGAAAATAACATTGAAACAGTGGATTTCACTGTTTCTAGAGGATCAGAGTGATTTTTGAACTGTAACCTAGCATTTAATGAGAAGACTAGTTATAAGGACGAGCGAACAAATAAAATATTAATTTGGAAAACTGTCACTTGTATCTCGGCAGAAGAGCAGGGTTAATCTCTGAAATACTTTTTGATGTGATAACGAGCTTTGTAATTTGAGGAACAATTATGTAGCTTTTTCTGTGATAAACACAGCAACGGTTATCAAAACAAGGTACTGAATGCAGGACTTTGCACTTACTAACTCAAAGTACAGAGTCGGAACCAAAAAAAAACTACATTTTTAAAATTTAGTTTGATAATCAAATCTGATCAAGTTTTACGAAACCCCGGCAACAACTCAGAATGGTTGTGTCTCCACTTGAGTGTGTGCGATTGAACTTTCTGATTACGACATTTTTCGTCTTCAAAACGGTTTCAAAACCTGCTTGGGAAAACTAGATATAAATTCAAAGAGATTAAGGGAACATTTTTCCAAAAATTTTGACAAATTTTGATAAACTTCACTAAAGTTACCTTTTAACGGAGTCACTGTGATAGAGACAAAAACAGCGCTTTCTCTAATTTCCCTTGAATCTTGCCGTAGAAACTGAACGATACTGGCAAAAAAGCTTAGAAGTGGTTCAAAAAACCTAGTTTGTTTTTTAACAGTTAAATGTCTGTGCCGCTATGGGAGATTCTTATAGCTGTACGAGCGACCCAGTTACAACATTGTTTGAGTTTCTGGATTTGATTGTGTATAATAATGCATTTGGTAAAAGGTTTTTTCAGTAGCATTCTAATAGACACTTTACATAACTTACTCAGTTCCTGTGCAGTTTCAACAAAACATTCTTAATCATTTCCTTCCTTCTGTGCCTTTCAAATTTCACTTAGTTTCTCAGAAAAGGTTTTTCCTTTTATCACCTTTGTATTCCCAAAATCGTTTTGCTTTATATTGAGACGCCACCAAAATTTCGGCAGTGATGTGGGTGCAATATGTCTTTGACAATAAATGCAACATCCACAAAACTTTAAAAGTCTTTTCCCCCATATGTTTAAAACATTTCCTGAAAACGCTCCATCCTCACCTCAACCCTTCGCGCTTTGCTCTCCCCTTGCTGCCAAAGAAAATCATCTTCTTTTGGCCTGCACTAAAACATTCTTCCTCAGGTAGTCACCTTTCTAAATGTAGTCGAAACCTACGAGATCTCTATTGCAAGCAAAAAGTTTTTTAATCGCTGGTTGTAACGAAAAACCACAATGCTTTAGCTAGAACGAGCTTCATTTTTACATGGAAGGCATTACTACTAGCATTATAAAAAAACTTTCCCTTCAACCACCCTCCTTTTCTACAACCTGGCAATTTTTTAGCCGAGAAACAACTGTAATATGAGCTCCATCCCTTTCTTGACGTCCTCAGCTGTCAGTCAATCACTTTTTAAAAAAATTTAATCTAAACAGCGGTTTGTTTAGAACGCAGGTTCGCAATGAGAACTTGTATATTCAGTGGAAATCGCTGTGTTGACGATCCACAGCTAACGCTTACCTTGAAATAGATTTTAGAATTTTACAGTATTATTAGAAAAGTTTCTTATAAGAAATCAATGAATTCTTCAGGTTAATCACACCAAAGAGACGAAGACTAAATCACAGTGGAACCTTCTCGCTTTTCTGACAAAATTGAAATGCTTTGAAGTGCTGACCAGTTCAATAGTCGTTCAGGAAATAAAACATTCGGATGAACATGTAACTGACTTTTTTTTTTCGAATTGGCCAAAACTGTTACAACCGTGGACTGTGAATTCTTATTTTTTTCTCCATGCAGCCGGAAGTTATGACCACCAATGTCCCGGTATCAAAAGTGCTCATTTCACCAACAAATAAGAGAAGCACACGCAAAGGTGAGAATGACAAAGAAGTGTCCTCAGATTTCTTCACCTCCATTTATAGGCTTTGCGCTATATCCAAGTTTTACCAGTTGATCCTTATATGCCGCCAGCTGCATACAAGTGGTAGATATTTTGTGGAGGTAATGTAGCTTTAGCACGATTTCATCTGGCACACTTCCAATTTCATCTTAAAAGCTGTGTTCCTCATAATTGTACCGAACAGCAGGCCGAGAAGGCTGGAGACACCTAGAATCTGCTATCGGGTTCTTTTTAACATATTTGACGAAATTTCTGATTACCAGTCAAAAGCGATTTCAAATGCAAAAACTGATGAAAAACACGGGCATTGAAGCTGAAAAGAACAACTGTTCCAAAGATGCCGAAGTCAATTTTAGTTTTGATAACTTAGTCAGCGCTTGGTTTTACTGCGTTTCTGCATTTTTTTACTGCATCGTTTACTGCATCATAATAAACGTTTAAATTTCTTTCCATCTCAATGTTTTTAAGCAGAAAATACTGTGATTATTACAGTCATTCACATTGCTAAATAG